AGAGCAAACTAATTGTCATGGAAGCTAGAAATTCCATATTCCTTTCGTTAAAAGAAATATGCTTTAAATATGGAACTGGTACAACAGCATGCAAAGATCATAAAACCAGCTTGCACCTGTTCTGTGCATGTCATCTGAAAATTACCTTTATTAAAATTCCTTTAAAAGTAACAGATGGAAAATATCATAGAGATTTCAAAACCTAAAGATCCAGTCTCCATGAAGACTCTGGTAAGAAACCAGCTCTCTTACAACATGCATATGCCATCAACTCCTCTGTCATGGCAGAATGTTACTTCAGATTCTCCTATTAAAAGTAGCTGTCATCACGGCCTGTTTAAAGTAATAACAGTAGGTCAGTGCTGAAGCTCAGCCAGGCCTTGCTTTAGCAGTAGGACACAGGGCAAAAGGAAATACTCATAGTTTTGCTATGCAGGACTCCTTTCATTAGCTCACAGCTTTTTCCAAGTCACGATCAGATGGGATCAATAACACCTCCTGATAAAGTCACGATGCATACTCCAGATATTATATGGAAAGTTTGAATAACTTCTCCTCTGAAGGGCACCAACCTCAACAGTATGCCCTTGGAAAAGAACAACTTCCTCAATTTTAAAAAGTGATTGAAGTATGGTACCCTTTCCTCTTCAAAGAGTCAGTGGGAACTGAAGCTTTAAATGCATTTAAGCTAAGAAATTACAATATAATCAAGTAGCTAATAGTAGATCCATTTTTCTAGGAGTAGAGAAGAAAGAATAGCCACTGCTCCAAGACTAAACAGGGTGGGCTCAAGAGGCTACTAAAACTGGGCAAGACTCTGAGAGTGCACAACCATCACATGAACAATGAGGCAATGACTGACACAAGCAGAGTGAGGTTTCTCAGAATTTCCCAATCACGCTAATAAATACTTTATTGGAGCAATTTTCTTTGTGTCCTCTTCATCCTCCTCAGAGTTACAGAGCCTGTGACTGCATCCCCACGGCAAGGGCAGCAGAAACACACAGTGCAAGCAACGATTATTTTCTATGTATTTTATGCACACACTGATGTAATTTAAGAGCTGAGAGAGCAAAACTGACCAGAACCAACCAGCAGGCAGCACATGCAACTCATCCAAAGAGTAGCAAAGTTCTGGCACTTAGTAACTACTGAATATGAGAGTAACAGTTCCTACTACTTTTCCCCCTTCTCCCTAGATTAAAAAACAAAAAAAGGAACATTTCCTTTCCCATTTTTGACCAATTCCAAAATTTTTTCAGAGGAGAAAGGAATGGAATCTAAACTAGGTTTATCAATATAAAGAAAAAAAATTTACAACTATTTTGAAGGATTTGTTTTGGAAAAGTCAAGCTTCAAAACTCTCCTTCTTATGTCAGCATCATAAATAGCTATTTAATACTACATATCAGAAGTCAAGCACAAAATCCACAGAAATATAAAATATTACCCTCATGCCTCTGATTCTACATCACTCCATGCTTAAAAAAAAAGAAAAGAAGAAAATCTTCCTTAGGTCAAGTCATTGTCAAACCCCCCCGAAGAGCTAGTGAAAGTTTGCCTGATTAAAGATTGCAAAACCATTCTTTTTTCAGATTTACTGCAACATGCCAGGTCTTATTTTGTCATCCCAAAAGCCATGCCAGCAGGAGCAAAAGTACCATTGTCAACAGCTTATCACAAGACCTATGTATATGGGAAATATTCACACTCCAGGCAACAGAGACTGGTAAAAATAACTTTTAATAGGTAATCACCGACTGGATTAGTATGTCAATAGTTTTTACATGGTGTCAAAAGCACTGAATTTTGAGAAACAGAGTGCATAAGAACAGAACTCCAAGAGTTTGGGGTGGAGAAAAAAAAAATCAAAAAATAAGCTGATAAAAACGTAGGATAAAACTAGAGTAAACAGCAGGGACAGGAATTTGCCTGTATTAAACAAGTGTCTAGAACTGAGGCTCATGTGGGCTGATCTGTATGCTACACAGGGAGGGGCTGGAAGAGTTGCTTAGATTTTTTTTTGAACTGCAAAACGACCATTTTCCCCAGAGTTTTCAATGACTGAATAACATTTGCATGTATTAATGTTTTTCAGAGCAGCTATGATGGGACTTGCAATCTCTCAGTTTACACTTAAAAGCTTACTCTGTGAAATACACTTTCCACTTTAGCAATAAATTATTTATTGTTATTATTTATATGATAACAGCATAGCTACCATATTTGCACTGCATTAGGTTTTTTCCTCCCCCTGCACAACAACTTGACCACTGTCTCCTCTCTTCCCACAAACACCCCAGTTTTAAGCTACGTGTCAAAAAGCACAAAAGTTTTTTATTTCTAAAGTTCAAAGATCTTTTACTAGCCATACACAATACCCAAATTTTCTGTACCTTAAATATATCAAATAGAAACACTTCAGAACAAAACACAGCACTGTAGGTGACCTACAAGCCTAATTAACTTCTAGGCATTGACTTTGTAATATTCACAGTGTTGAGGCCAAGAGCTATCAAAACAAAAGAACTAAAACAAGATAGTCTTCCTATCACATTTTAAAAACACAAGGTTCTTCACAAAACATTTTAGAAAACACTGAAGTGAAATAAAAACCAAAGTGCCATCCAAATAATCAACAGCAAAGCACTGCAGGACTATAACTAACTTTGAATAACAAATTATTTTCTTTTCTTTTCTTAGGTCATTAACAATTTTGCAAAGCCTGGAAATTGTCTTAGGAAAAACTGTAACTAGCTTTTTTTTGTCTTTTACAAAAGGGAAAATATTTAGCCATACACAATTATTCACATGATTTTGCAAATCAGTGCATTATAACAGACAGATCTCATTATCTCCAAAAAGAACATGAGCAATAAATTAGGATCTGGAAAAGATGGGAGAGGTGACAGTTTTTTTCAATAATGGAAATCCCCAACCTCACTCTCTGGCAGGCATCAACAGAGTAACAGCATATGATAGCACAATATCATTTGGAACAAAAATCATACAAAGAGCATTACTTAATTCCCACAGAAATGAGAGAGATATTAATAGTGGCAGAAACATTTTTGTAAGGAACTCATTAACAAACACTGTGTCAAAGCACGTCCCCATTTCCAACACCAAGCATTTAGCGTCTCAAGATCTGAGCATCTTAGTACCCACCACACAAAAAGACACCCTGAAAGTTTAAAGCTTGATCTAACACTCTTCTCAAACCAATGGGAAATACATTGCCCTTGATGGACTGAAGGATTAGAGGAAAAAGCTGAGTCTCTACTGATCCTGAGGTTACTCTAAGCCCAAGAAAATAACGAACACAATTTGGAGACTGAGAACTGAGAAGTTTAAGAACTCAACACTTCCAGCCCAGTCCAGATTGCAAACCTTTCAGAGAATAAGTTTTTAAGCTACTCACTTCGTGAACACACAAGGTCACATTTCTCTCTTTATCTTTGAGACAACTGTTGAAAGAGAGGCAAAAATGCCTGGAGCTCTGACACCACAGTGAGAAGTTCTGTCTTCTTGTTCTGGGAACTCTCCTTCAAAACAAAGGGCTCACAAAAAGAAGAGGTGCTGGGCAGGGAGAACAGCATATTGCCCAACCAAAACTTAGAGGGCCTGACTGCCAGAGCAGTAATTTATTTCTAGCTGATCAGTCCTCCTGGGGTGTTAATTTACATTCCATTTCAAAGCACGAACACCACACAGATTTGAGGGAGAAACATGAGAAACCATAACAACCTACAGTAAAACAGATAATATTCCATCTTCTGTGTCCAGTTAAGTGTTTCAAGTAGTAGCAAAAGCCATGTTAAAAGCAAGAAAGTTTAATGATTCAAAAGATACCAACTTCAGGAAAAAAAAAGAACAAAGAACAAAGCTTATTCAGCCTTGATTAATTATAGCTTTAATCTTGAAAGTTTTCAGTTTTAGTTTCAGGAGTTCTGGGCATAAAGCCCAAAAATAAAAATTAAAAAAAAAAAAAAAGTGAGACATAATTCAGTTATCATACTTTCCCAATTCCTTTTCACTAAGCATACTTCTAGTGGAAGAAGTGTCATCATTTTGCCAGTAATAAGCCAAAATGTGCTCTTTCTTTGCCCTAAGAACACAAATCTTCATAGTTAAAATGGATTATGCCATTTGCGTTCAGTAAGAAGAATGTGGGACCAGACCACTCACAACACAAGGCAGCATTTGTGAGAGCAATAAACAGAGTGATCACATCGAATACGTAGGGAGACAGACCACAGCAGCAAAGCTCCTTCACCTGATCCTGTGGCCTCCGTCTAACCACTGTGGAGGAGGGAAGGCCAGGGAGAAAAACAATTCCTGCGGCCGCTTGTGCCACAGGGAAATGAAGCCTTCAACAGCATCTTCTCTTCACCTGCCCTGCAGCAACGCTGAAGGCGGCTTGATGTGGATGTCCCTGCACAGCCCCAGGTGCTGGGATGTGAGCCAGCCCTCACCGTCCCCTACAGCGACCCACACACTAGGGGACGGCAGCCAGGTACAAGCAGGGCCAAGTAGGGATGTGGGAGCCTCCAGCCCTTACCTGGGTAGGTTTTCAGCCTCCATCCCAAAAGCACATCGCTGTCTCATGACAGAGGTGTGAAACAAGCAAGGTAGACACGCAAAACACACGCATCACACATGAGCCCCAAAGCGCCATATTCCCGACAGAGCGGGGCATTAACGCGGGGTCGTGTATTATTTTGGGAGACGTTTGGCCATCGCTTGCCCCAGCAGAGGCAGAACCGCGTGGCCCTCACGGCAGGGCCGGGAAAGGCGCTCCTGGCTCCAGCCTCGCACCTGGGCGGGCAGGGGCACAGACCGCTCACCCTCCCGCCGGACCCGCCGCTCACAGCGGGCACTCACCCCGCGCTGCCCTAGAGCGCCGACGAGAGCGAGGAGGAGGAGAGAGGGAAAAGAAGGAAAAGCAGAAAGAGCCACCGGTCGAGCGCGCCCCCTCAGCCCGCCCAAGGGCAGAGCGCTCACCTGGTCCCTGCCGCCCCGTGCCGCGGGACGCGAGGGGAAGGAGGAGGAGGCCATGTTACAGCGCTCCCAAGGCTGCGCTCCTCACCTCGCACAGCCGTCCCAGGCTCACGCCAGCGCCTGGCCGTCCCGTCCGCGCCACCGCCCCCGCAGGTGGGGCCAGGCCCGCCGTGCTCTCCTCCCGCGGCGGGCAGGGCACGGGGGGCAGGCGCGCTAGCTCCAGGACCGCCGCCGCCCCGTCCCGCCCCGTGCCCGGGGCCGGCTGCGCCGGAGGTGCCACAGGGCGGGGACAGCGCCCCGAAGTCCGCCCCGTTGGAAAACCGGGAGAACGGCCGCTGCCAGAGGAACCCCCTCAGCCACCCCCACCTGCACCGCGGCTCACCTGGAGACGGCGGGGTGTGCTCTGCCTGCGGAGCGCCCAGGGGATGCGGAGGAAGGAAAGCTTAGCTGAAGTTTGTTAAACTAAACTGCAAAGGCAACCAAACCCTCGCGCTAGGTGGGAATGAATTCCGTACCGCGGTTCTCGCTGATATTCCATCAGGAGTGCCACCGGGGTAGTGTATTCGCTACAACGCAAATGCAAAACCGCTCGCACATGAGCGGCGGCGGGAGAACGGCCATCGGGAGCTGCACCTGTGAATAAAGATTAGCTGATACCACCCCAGAACGCGCTTGAGCCTGGGTGGGTGAGTCTCGATTTTCCTTCCTCCCCAAGCCTAAGGTGAGGACTGTGCAAACCTCACAGGTGAGACTCCGCGGTGATCAAACCAGCAGTTACTTGTACTTTTTCTCAGTTTAAAAAAATGCTTTAATCGATCTCATTAAAACGTGTTTTATCACAGCACAAAATTGTGAAAGTATTGTAAAAGCAATTATGTTTACTTTATCCTATCATTACTTTTTACAAACTGTCCTGGTGCATCAACCCCTTTTCATGTTTTAATTAGAACCGATTTGTAGTGGTGAAAAACAACAAATGCTATTAAGCACTAATTTACCTAGAAAAATTGGTGATAACAACTTAATCCAGTTAGTTGTCCTACCGTGGGCCTTAGTGCTGTAGGTGCAATTCAGGAAACACATAACCAGCAGCATAAACTGACTATAGGTATTTATACATCTTCGGATACTGTGTAGCTAATTGCTTGTCACTCCCTCTCTTGTATAAACTTTTTTCTTTGTATACAGAGCCAAATAAAGATACTGAACCAGAGGCCTTGGCTGTATCTCACAAGGAGAAGGTAATTCCCTAGAATGTTTTTATCCCTCTTGTTCTGGATGTGATTCATTTCCTTAGCCCACTTGGAGAACTGGGAACGGGATGGGGGAAAAAGGATCACAAGTTCCCTGTTGGCTAAAAGCAGGTGTGAAGCAAGGCTGGTCACGTTCACTGGTGGGCACTGTTTTTTTACAACTCACATACCATCATGGCATACCATCTTCCATCACTCTTTGGGAAGGACAATTAGAGAGACTTAAATGGGATTTGCAGATTGAAAAAGAAAATAACACCTTAAGGAAAAAAAGTTTACTTGAAATGAAAGGTGGTTTTTAAGCCTACTTCTACAATTGCTAGGAGGAAGAATATTTAAACAAAGTATGATATGTACATGTAAATCCATAGTGTATTTCCACAGGCTTATAAACCTCACTTGTCTCATCTACACTCTCACCTGGAAGAGTACAGCTTTTTTTATTTTTTTGGCAGCTGGAATGATACCTGGAGGGAAGGAAAAGTTGACTTCCCTTACTTCAGGGGAGGTTTCAGGTCAGACTTGCCTGACAGAGGTTTGCAACTTAAATGTGCTGTTGCAGTGCATTTGATCTGATCAAGCACAGTAGAGGATGATTGTTGTAAGATGAAAAAGGATAAACAGATAAAACCTGAGGTAAATTGGAAAAAAGGAGTATTACGTGTTGAAATGAAACAGCCATTACAGGAAAGAGATTTTAATGTAACTGTCTCCAGGTGAGGAATGTTGCTGATTGAGTTACACTGCTGCCACAGACATTTGTGCACAGCCTTGGGAAATGGGGTTTGTGCCTTGCTCTCTGGAGGGATGTACTGCTATCCAGCCCTCCAAATCTACCTGAAAACCAGCCCCCTCCAGCCACTGCTTGCCTGCATCCAGGCTGAGGGAGCTCCAAGCATGATCTTGACAGCACCTCCCCTGCTCTCATGTGTCCAAACAAAAGTTTAAAAGCAGTCTATTGGGTTCTACCATTTTAATTCTAGAATTGTAAGCTAAGTGAAATGCAAAAACTAAAATCAGGAATCAGTCACCTGACTTGTGGTCAAAAGTGAAAGCTGTGCCCAACTGAAGTTAGTGGGAGTTTTGCCAAAGACTTTGGTGGAGCCTGGCTTTTTGCCCAGATGCTCCAAAGAAACAAAAAGCACTTTTTTCCCTCTGGCCCAGATTTGATGCATATATGTATTCACCTTTCTCATTTAATTACAATTATTAAAATAAAATCCAATTATGGACATTTGTAGATATTTCTCTAAAGGTTTATACAAAACCAGCTGTGTGTCTCATGATGAAGGAAGATCCACAGTGACAGTGGAGCATTCCCTGCTCTGGGAAAGGAGTTTGGCAAAGTCAGAGCTGGGGCAAGATTTCAGCCAAGCAGTCACAGGTTTCAGCCCCTGGAAGCCACCCCCAATAAGCTCAGCAGGGACTCTGCACACCCCTCTGCTCCCTCACAGAAGGTCCCCACACTCTGCCCTCATTCCTCTTTGTGTGCTGCAATGTTCATTGTAAAATTTTCCCTGATTATCAGCTGAAATTTCCTCCAGGAAGTACAAACCTATGAATAACCAGCGACCATGAATAACCAGTTCTTCTATCTACAATGTCTCCTTATTTGAAATGAAGGGATGGCTTATGATATTTTCATTATTGCAATGACATCAATATTTGGGATTTTCAGGTAAAGCGAAATAGTGCACGTTACAAAAAAACTTTTAAAATAATTTGAACCTAAATTCAGCTACTTTAAGTGCATTTAAAATATTTATATTAATGCTGTAATGAGACATTGACAATTTAATTATTTTTTCTAAGCAGTTTCCATCCTTTTATTTTCAAACAGTTCTCAGGAGCTTTTTATTTTCTGGCATCTTATCAAAATGCTACTGCAGAAGGAGAGCAGCAGAGAAGTTCTCCATGTTTCATGACAGGGGGAACTGTCCTGCATAACAAGAGATTTAACAGGTTAAATGTATAATCTGAGATATGCATTAGAGATATTATCCCTCTAATACTATCTTCCCTTCCTAAGTGGTAGTACATCTCTCCTACTGTACTTTTGCATTCGTCACGTTAACAAAATAATCTTTGAGTTTTAATAAATGTTAGAAGAAGCCAATCAATGTTTGTACTTATCTGCTTTTGAGCACAGTGAACACAATCTATTTTAGATACTCTCATTAGTATTCACATACCAGTTGACCTTTTTAGTCCCATCATTATGTAAAAGACAGAATACACTTTTTCTCTTCCTTACAGTGAAGTTATTGCTGAGGAGAATATGATTAATATACAAAAGACAAGACGATATTGACTTTTGCAGCTGCCCTCTGTTCAGAAGAGAAGGAGTTGTTCAGAGCATTACACTAGGTTCTGAGCCATGAATACAACTGTAATGCCATAATCCAAGCTCAGCATTATCGGTCTGATCCCGTGTGCCTTGCACAAACAGCGCTGCAGTTCAGGCAAGTAGAAGTCTGGGATGCCAAAGAGGTTTGAATATATGGGCCCATTGTTCATTTATATAAATAAAATGCAATTAACGTTGTATTGTCAAGGTAGACCTAGATTCTTCTGCTATTTGCCTTGGAGTTTTCCCTCAGTTCTACATTTCACCATGTTTTGCTGTAAAGAGGAGCAGCACTCCTAGGGATTCCCACATGCATCCATCTGTGACTTAGTTGTCAGCAGGCTCACTGCTGCTGTTCCTCCAAGCAGAACAGTAAATCCCTTCAAACACAAAAGTCACTGCAAATGTACTTATATCACTTGTCTCAAGCAGCATCATTAGCTCCTGCCATGTCCAAAGCAATGATCAACCAAGATAAGCACTATCCAGTCAGAAAGATGTGATCTATATCCTAAGATATAAGAGGGAAGAAAACACAAGTTAACTTTCAGACTAATGTTTGACAAATTAATAACATGTCGAGTCTATACTCGCATGCCTTACTTACTTACTCAGCTTCCTAAGCAAGGTAGCTCTAAGAGAGGGCCACAGGTTGAGGGCAATGCAGCCTCCGCTGCTCCTGGAGGAAACTACTGCACACAACCACACTCTCCATCGCTCTGAGGTGTTGGCACATGTTGCAGTAAAGCAGACAGGACTCAGTTTCTTCATGAAGGAAAATCCAATTCTTCATAACTCATTCACATAACTCATTTTTATACAGACCTCGCGTTTAACTAAAATTGGCTAGTAGTTTTCTTGCCATTCAATTAATTGGTTAATAAATGTCATTTTACCTGTCTATCAAATCTCTCTATTCTTAGATTGTTTGCATATCTTCTTTGCTGATTCTTATGGGATAGATTTATTGTTTATGCAGGTGAAAACTTATTTTTTCTTACCAGAATAGGTTGTGGTGTTAAGTGCCTCTCATTCCTTTGATTCTTTCTTCTGGGAACTTACAGGCTAGTTGGTAATTCAGCAGAGCAAGGCCTGATTTTATAACGCCTTTCTTTTATAATATCTTTGCCTGTATGCAACAGGCACGGCCACCAGTCCACCCAACACAGAGACCACAGCAAAATACTGTCCCTGAGCTGCTTACCTGATTAAGCCAGCACAGCCTGGGCCCTGAGGCACAAGAGCTGACACAAAGGCAGGGGAAGTGATGCTGGGCTTCAAGTGCAACAGTGATCAGATGGATCTCAAAGCTATCTACCTTCCAGACCTTTTCTAAAGGTATCAGAAAAGGCTAAACTTGTGACCTTAGGTGCTGACCAATGACCTCAAACAGATAACAGTGCTGTGTACAGCCGGCACATGGAGAAGTCCCCTCACATATGAAATAAGAGGGGTTCCTTCACAAGAGAGAGCTGCTGTCTAACCAGCTTTCCTTCTGGTGCCTTCTGGTCTTTTCCACTCAAAGCCCATGACACAATGGGATGTATGGAAAAAGACGTATTCTCAAAGAGTTTGAAAATTCAGCGTGCGCTCTGAGAATGAGCAGTTAGTGCCCAGCAGGAAGGACAGTCTGAACACAGCTAAGAAATACTTGTGTATATTTAAACTAAAGCTAGGAAAAAAGACCTCGCTTTCAAGAAAATTCGGATCAGTGTATTCAGTACTTTCAGACACAGTACATTTTATATATAATCTCTGTATTTTAATAAAACTTATAGTAATCCATAGTACTGAATAATTATACCATCACCAACCCCTGTAAATTAACGAGAGTTACCATATATCTGGGACTTCCAAGACAGATTTTCTTTTCCTCTGAAGGGAAAGTTGGACTTGGGCCACCTACCTAAGGTCCCTAGGCAAGCACTAGTCCAGTAGCAGTAGGTCCAGTCCTGTGCTGGCAATAGAAAACAACTTCCCCAAAGCTGCAGAGCACACTGATAGTGCTGCCGGTGTAGAGCCAGGCTGGAGGAATGTGTTCCATGCTCTGTCTGAACTGTGCAGCTGATCCACGGGCATTGCTGTGCCCAGACTGTCCTGGCTGCTTTGGTACACACAGGGTAGAAATTCTCTGTCACTGTGCACGGCAGAGCACATCAGGCTCTTTTCCTATAAATTGCATAAGATGTGAGGCCACGTTTCCATACGGAATTTCCCAGATATACCAAAGCCTTGTTCTAGGCAGGTAAATCCTCAGCAAATGGTAGGAATACAAGACTCAAAGTAAACAGAGACCTGCGAGCATGCGCACGATATGCTGCAAAAATTCTCCAGGAGGGCGGGGAAAGTGGAGGGGCTTTATCCCTGAAACACACGCATGGGGAGGAGTTGGACGGGCTGTCGCTCGCCTTTGCCAGGGGGCAGGGATGAGAAGGAAGTGTAGCATAAATAGATCTGCTTCCTGGAATCACCGTCCCAAAGAAATGCTTTAAGGAAGAAGTTGCATGTTTTTGTTTGCAGCACCCTGCTCTACTTATATTTAGGATAAGCAGCAAAGCCATCCTTCGAGAATGTTGTAAACCAGTGCAATGAAGTAATTTAAAAAGGAAATAACATCAGCAGTGTGAAGTGGTGCCTGTGGCTCACCCCTGCAGGGATTGTAGGTTTCCACAGGAGTTGTTGGTCCAGGACTGTCAGTGCGAATGATAAATTGCTGCTAGAGTGGGTCACAGCACCACAGAATCCACAGTGGAACTGTACTGCATGGGAACGACTTGTAAAACTAAAAACACATGACTTTTGCTAATCTATTTAGCATTTCAGTTTCTCAGTAACAAAATTTTTTTGGAGTAGTATTTTCCCGGGCTTTTTGTTAACTCGTGTACTGTAGTACCACTTTCCTGGGTACCAGTGGAGGAAGGCTGTGGGTGGCAGAACATTCGCTGAGCAGGGCCCACAGGTGCCTCTCTAATTATGTCCCCAGCCCTTCTTCCACAAACTGGGATAGCATAGCGACTAATCTTTTTTAATCTGGGAGGAGGGATGCAGAACTTAAATTTGCCTACAGACACATGTTTCAGCTTCTGGGGAATTAAGTTACCCAATGACCCTCCATTAAAGCATATACCTTAAAAGCAGCTCCCAGGGCTGCAGCAGCAGTTCCCAGATCAGCACCCATGCAGCCAAAAATAGCGAATTTATGCTCTGGCCAGCCATAGCATCCAAACCTAACAGACTTGATTAAAAGGAGAAGCTGCAGCCAAATGCTAGCCTGGTCCAAACACAATTATACTCCCCAAACCATTCCAACAGCTCCAAGTGTTATTCCAGTGACCCAGGGTCCTGTGAAGAGATAAAAAGTTGATCAAGCAACTGGAGCATCTCTCCAAGGAGGAAAGGCTGAAGGAACCGGGACTATTCAGCCTGGAGCAGAGACAGCTGAGAGGGAACATCGTCCCTGTCTGCAGGCAAGGCTCAGAGCAGGGACTGGGTGCTGCTCCTTAGGACCGGCAATAGCACAAGAAGAATGGCAGGAAGTAACGCCCAGGAGTTCCACCAGAACACGAAGAAGAATTTTACTGCGCGCTGACCGAGCACTGGGAGGCAGATTGTCCAGAGAGGATCGCTGGAGATATTCCAGAACCATCTAGACGCGATCCTGTGCCATGCACTCTGGGATGGCCCTGCATGAGTAGAGAGATGGGACCAGGTGATCCACAGGTGCCCCTTGCAGCCTGACCCATTCCGTGATTCTGGGATGCTGACCAGTCCGCCCAGTGGCGCGGTCCCCGTATCACCGGCTTAGGGCTACGCGCAACGACCCACCCACCCAGCCACCCTGCCAGACTGCCTCCACTCGCACCGTCCGTGAACCATAGGGACATCCGGTGCATCCTCATCTTGCAGCGCCCGGCCGTGTAGCATTTCTCTATATTTTTCCCCCTCGCAGAGCCGAAAGCCGCCCTTTGGGCCTCACTTTGGCGCGGAGCGCGCTGATTGGTCACTTTGAACGGGCCCGGCTCGGCGCCATTGGCGGAGCACGGCCGGGCGGCCGGTTCGAATGCGCGGCGGCCCCGCCTCCAGCTCGCGCGGCGCTGCGGACGTGCCTGTGCGGTGGCGGCGGCGGCTTGTGCGGCGCGCGCGCAGCGGCTCCGCAGGTGAGGGGCGCGCGGTGGGGCCGTTGATGCGTGCGGCCGCGTGAGGGGCAGGGGCAGCCGGGGGAGAGGGATGCGCGCTCCCGAGCCCGTGCGGGGTCCTACTCCCCACCCCGGGGGGACAGCGCGGCCGCCCGGCCCTTCCCGGTCTGCGGAGGGGAGCGCCCTGGAGAGCCGGGCAGGGAGTGGGGGAGCGCCTCGGGCTGTCGGGAGCGGGGCAGGGGCTGGGCTGTGCCGAGCGGGGCCTGCGCGGCGAGTGGGCGCTGCCCGCCCTGGCCGGAGCCGGCAGCCTCCCGGAACCGTAGGTAACTCGAATCTGCTCGGTGTCGGTAACCCCCTCGATGCTGGTGTTGGTCCGGAGCAGCGAGGGAGGTGTGGAGTGCCAGTCCCGGCTGCTGCCTCTGCGTCCTTCCCCGCGGGCTACGCGAGGCACTCGCCTCCTGACGCTCTAAGCCAGTGTGCCCTGGCTTGGCAAACACCCGGTTCCCGGATTTTTACATAGTGGCCTTCCTATCTGTTTCTAGTTTATTCCTCTTGAGTGAGTAGTTAGGTAAAAATGATGAGTAGGGTGCACTTTTTTTCAGTTCCCTGGAGGAGCTTTTTTCAAAGATTTTAAAATTTTTTTTTTCCTCTTTGGAATTATTGCCCACTTGTACTTTGTGGTGTAGTTTTTCTAGCTGGAGTTCTGAATAAATATGTTCTGTGTTTTTGCTGATGAGAACAGTTATGTGTTTTGCATTACATCTTAATTATGTGAGGCACAACTCGCTTCTAAAGAGTTGGCATAAGTTCAGGACAGCAACTGTTCGCCCTCATTTTCTGTTTCTTTTTCCTGTCCGTTTCAGGGATAAGCACAGCAATGGATGATTACACAAAAATAGAGAAGATTGGGGAAGGTAAGTAGGGAACAGTGAGCTTTTAAACTCTATAGTCTGATCTATGACGTGTCGCAGAAGCTCTGTGTACTCTGTTACTGGAATTACTGAGATTCAACCAAGTGGCTAAATAAGCCCGTGGCTTAATTACTGTGCTAGTTGTCTATATCTGTAAAAGCTTTCAGCCTGCCCCCTTTTTTGAAAGCGATGTGGTCTTTTTTAAAACAACTTACCAGTGTTGAAAAGTGTCTGCCTTCATGGCTAATGGTGTAACATTCCTCCAAAAGGGAGAAAAAATATGTTTTGAGTCCTGAAACCGGTTTACAGTTTAGGAAGCTCCTCAGTTCCTCTGAGTATGAACTTACCAGTTGCCCCTGAAGTTGTGCAGTGTGTTGTTTTGCTTGGAGCTCCTGTTAGGGAATAGGATTTTCTGGATTGTTCTCTGATTATATATGGGCAGTGCAGGTGTTAAGGGAAAGTAAGATGGTAAAACTTTGTAGAGAAGTGAATTTTAACAATTACTTTACATTGAAGCACTAAGAAGATGGCTTCAATGCAGATGTTAGTCACAACCCCCTGTTACTGGAAATCTAGCCTGTGTTAACTGTAGAAGTCAGTGTGTTTTGTAACACGCTCCATAAGGCTCTAGCCTTATGTAGACTTGAAAATTCGAAGTACGTTGCTCTGAGATTGCACACTTTGAGGCAATAGCAAAAGGTGTGTTTGGATCTTGCAACAAAGCTTTATGCATTAATCTTTCTGAAATAAACTAGTTTGGGCTTCATGTGAGGTATTAATGCTTCAAGAAGGGTAAAAAGAAAAGGCTTACACTGCCTTGGTTTGAGGGTTCTACGTCTGTGAACACTGATGCTTAAGATGGATTGATTTGAGATTTACTATTGGTTCCGATTTCAGCTTCTGCTGAGACCAACAGCACTAGCCTCTCTCCTGCACTGAGGATTGTGCCAGAGGTATTTCTACAGCTCACACTCATGGATGGCTGGAGCTCAGACTGCAGAAGGAGTACTACTTCCATTTGCAGCTAAACATTTAGCATTTTAATATGATGTATCAATGGCAAAATCATAATCCTTTATAATGATCTTGCCCGAAAGTTAATATGCTTAAAACTCAAATAATATCTGATTTTATAACCACACCTTTCACACTTAGGCTTCTAAGTACCCTATCCTAACAAATGCTACACTTCATGGGTGGCATGCTTTAAACAAGCAAAAATATTGCTCAGTTAAACTCCACAGCTAAGTGGTAGTTTGTAATCTAAACCAATACTCCATCTGTAAGGACTTTTCCTATGTTAGCAGCTCGTGTTTGCAATAGGTTATTTGTACCTGAAACTGGTACTTCCTATATTTGTTTCACTGTCTTTTTGTTCAGGTACCTATGGTGTTGTGTATAAAGGTCGCCACAAAACCACAGGCCAAGTGGTTGCAATGAAGAAAATACGTCTAGAAAGTGAGGAGGAAGGTGTTCCAAGTACTGCTATCCGAGAAATTTCTTTATTAAAAGAGCTGAATCATCCCAATATAGTCTGGTATGCATATACTGGTATTTAGCTAAACTTTTGGAGGGGCACTAGGTCCCATCAGATCATAAATTATTTTCACTCATCTAGTGAGGTGAGAACCTCTCTGCTTAATACAGTGTCAACTTTGCAGCAAATAGTTTAAATTCCATATTTATGCCAGTTTTCTAATTAAGCCTTCCTCATGCTGCCTCTTTTCGTTCTAGGAATTGAACAAATTTTTGTTAATTTAGAAATTTCTGTAAATTCTTTTCAGAGAGGTTTTTGTGAGAATGCAGGCAGAATACCTCATGAAAACTGGCTGTAGCTGTTACTTCAGGCAGTCTCAAAAGTTTATTTACCACCTTGGAATAGACCGTTAGACTTAAGTGTTCTTATGTTCCTCCCTGCTGTTCTGTAGTAGGAATTTAGATGTGTTTTGATGCTGTCATAGCTAGCACACCTGAGCTATGAGCGAAACTTCTGTCAGTGACTAACTGGCATATAAAAATGATTGCAGCTACTGTCTGCCCCACAACATATTTGCTTGCTCTTTGATGCAGCAAAATATTTGAGCTTTAATGTGCCTTAAAACTGGCCAAGTTCCAGCCAGGTAGTGTCTCAATGTATGTATGCTTGGGTTTAGGAACCTCTACACTCTAGTAAGGATGAAGAAGATGCGTAAAATTGTGTGCAAATCCTGCTGTGTCTATTAGATTCCTATTAAATATTTCCTTAAACCCTCCTAGTAATTCAGGCTCTGCTGTGACAAGCCAGCTTTAAACAGAAGCTAGGCACCAACACCCACACGTGGGGCTTTTTTTAACATCAACAGTATTTTTTTCTTCAGACTCCTGTGTCTGATTTGAGAGAACATAAGTTTAAGAGGAAGCATATAGGCTTTTATCTCAGTTTGACACTATTTCAGAAACATTTAATTTTCCAGATGACAGTAAAACTCACTAAGCCCGTTCTTTAAAGACTTAAGACTTCCTTAATAGGAACCTGGAAATATCAGCCTGTAACCCTGTTGAGAGAGGAAATGTGAGTTCATGCATTTTGCAGCAGAAGTAACTGTACACTGAATTTTTAGTCTTCAGGATGTTCTCATGCAGGATTCAAGACTGTACCTCGTCTTTGAATTCCTTTCCATGGATCTCAAGAAATACTTGGATAGTATTCCATCTGGCCAGTATCTGGAGCGTTCACGTGTTAAGGTAATGAGGACAATATCTTAACCTATAAGCCATAAGCAGCTCTTATTTTCAGTATAATTAACTCCTTGAGGAGAAATAAAAGGTTAAATAAGCGGCTGTAGATAATAAAATGAATGTGAATTTTGCTTTCAAATGCCACTTGAAAATATTTTAATTACTGAGATTAAACTGCCTTGAACTAATCTTCAGAATTAATTTATGTAGCTTTTTGATTGATATTAACTCAATATCTGCAATGCTTTGGATCTCCATTTCCTGCTGCTGTGGGGAGAGCTAATGAAGGGAACGCCTTTGTGTTGCAGGACACTGACATGTACTAAAAGTAACTCCTTTCTTTCTTTCCTCCCACCTAATCCTTTCTAGAGTTATCTGTACCAAATTTTGCAAGGTATTGTCTTCTGCCACTCAAGAAGAGTTCTGCACAGAGACTTGAAACCTCAGAATCTCCTGATAGATGACAAGGGGGTGATTAAACTGGCAGACTTTGGGTTGGCCCGAGCCTTTGGAATTCCAGTGCGGGTCTACACTCATGAAGTGAGTTGAGACATAATTCTGGTGGTTTGGATAGTGGGTACTTGCTTCCTGCTAAGAACTGATTCTGAAACAGCTAAAAATAATCAGTTTTTTCAAGCCATAAGCTAACAAAACTATGAAAAAAGTTATGTTTTCTTTTCCACCTCTTTGACTGTGGTTTCACTCTAAGGTTCCAAAGCATTTTATGAATTCCACTCACAGTGAGTCAGATGGACCCAAACTTGTTGTTCACGGTCTCATAAAGACTTTTTTGCTTTGCAAAGCACTTGGGTTTGAGGGGTTTTGTGGCTGGGTGCCAAAGGATTTCTGCTCTTAGGGAAGTTGTGCAGGCAGCTGCTTTTCTTGAAATAGAAGCTACTGCAATGGAGTTGGTTTGTCTACAAATGAAGTTTGAAACTAGTATAACACTTTGACTAAAATTTATAGTACTGGCTATTTTTATCAAAAAACTGTGAATGCTGCTTAATAACAAATGAGACACTTATCTTGCAATTAAAGGACCTAATTCCACAAACTTTACCTTTCCTTGTTCCACAGGTAGTGACGCTGTGGTACAGGTCTCCAGAGGTGTTGTTGGGATCTGCTCGTTACTCAACTCCTGTAGATATCTGGAGCATAGGGACCATATTTGCTGAGCTGGCAACTAAGAAGCCACTTTTCCATGGGGATTCAGAGATTGACCAGATCTTCAGAATCTTCAGGTATGTAAGGCTGAGCCTTTCCTTGCTACCTGTGTGGCACCACACAACAGTTTTGTGTAATAGCGCATAACAGATTTCAGACTAAATTGCTTAATATTTTGCTTATGCTTGCACAGAGCTTTAGGGACCCCCAACAATGAGGTATGGCCTGAGGTGGAATCCCTTCAAGACTACAAAAACACATTCCCAAAATGGAAACCTGTCAGCCTTGAAACACATGTCAAAAACTTGGATAAAGATGGACTTGATCTGCTGGCTGTAAGTAGTCTGTCCTAAACTGCTGATTAAGAAATGGAGTGGGCTGTTTGAAATACTCCAGAATACACAAAGCTGTACTAATTAGTCATGGCTAGAAGGAAAATATGGAGATCTTCAAGCTATCAGCAGTGGTATGAGCCTTCATTCTTGTAGAACTGACACCTTGTGTGACATTCACTCCTTTCACAAGTAATACGAGACCATTTTTCACATGAAGCAATTATGCCCCAGCTTTTTTATAATAATAAGCCAGGTACAACTTGAAAGTGAGGATAAGTCTTTACAAAGAGGTTTAAGTGAAGGCTTTTGTCTATAAAGTAGCTGTCACCTTTCTGCTCCCAGCACCAGTTGTGATGTGGCTGTATGACTGCAGAGCTAGTTGGAAATGTTTATTTTATGGTAGCATATGAATTAATCTTGGTGGGCTCATCTTGGTTAAACTTTCACGATGGTCTTAACTGAATAAGCAAAGATAAAAACAGCTGAATGTATTGATTAGCTGAGGCAAGAAGCTTTTTTCAAATCTGTCTGTAGTGTGTCTCAATTGCCCTTAAATGTTGAGTTAAATATTTTTGGCTGTGGTGTATAACTTTTAATTGGTATCTTTGTGTCTAATGTGAGCTTACTTCAGTTCTGTGGCCAGGCAGTTAAACTCCCACACCAGGCTTTTAACTGGAGATCTCTTCATCAATCTTTTCAATTTTGT